GAGAAGAGACCAACCCCCACCTCGCTACAGCCTCCTTTCAGGTAGTTGTGGAGAGCAATAAGGTCTCCCCTCAGCCTCCTCTTCTCCAGACTAAACAACCCCAGTTCCCTCAGCTGCTCCTCATAAGACTTGTGCTCTAGACCCTTCACCAACTTCGTTGCCCTCCTTTGGACACGCTCCTGTACCTCGATGTCCTTCTTGTAGTGAGGGGCCCTGAACACAGTATTCGAGGTGCAGCCTCACCAGTGCTGAGTACAGGGGGACGATCACTTCCCTAGTCCTGCTGGCCACTCTATTTCTGATACAAGCCAGGATGCTATTGGCCTTCTTGGCCACCTGGGCACACTGCCAGCTCATATTCAGCTTGCTGTCAGCCAACACCCCCAGGTCCTTTCCCTCCAGCCAGCTCTCCAGCCACTCCTCCCCAAGCCTGTAGCGTTGCGTGGGGTTGTTGTGACCCAAGTGCAGGACCCAGCACTGAGCCTTGTTGAACCTCGTACAGTTGGCCTCAGCCCATCGATTCAGCCTGTCTGGGTCCCTCTGTAGGGCCTTCCTACCCTCCAGCAGATCAGCACTCCCGCCCAACTTGGTGTCATCTGCAAACTTACAAACATCTGCAAAATCTTGTCCCACATCTGAGTCATTAGGCAACGCTGCTGATTTTTGTGCTTTCTTTTTCTCTTTATATGAGTCAGTCCTGAGGCTCCAGGCTTCTGGTTTATTTTCCCATTACCACTTCTAATGGTTTCAGTCTGTCCTTTGTTTTAATCCTTTTCCTGATCTGGGTGTCCTGAGAAGCTGCTTAAAGGTCTGCTGTGATCTCAACACATAGCCATTCCTACCACACTCTGTTCCTTCTGGCGCTTTTACACTGTTATGTTCTCATTGGTATGGTCTTAGCTGAGCTAATTTTTTTCCTGTGGAAAATCTGGATGAAAAACCTTCCTCTAAGATAGTACAGTATGTATCACCTTGAAGACTGAAAAAAAAAAAATGTGAAGAAGTGTAAAGAGAGGAGTTTCTTGAAGACAGGCTATGGGTAAAGCTGTGGGTAAAGTTAGTCTTAAAATTTGAGTGTAAAATGTCAAAACTGTATCTTGATTATAGGGACGAATGTTTCTGTATAGAAGTAAGTGGAAATATGGGAAAGTAATGCAGAATTAAAACATCCTGTTTTGTGGTAATGAGGAAGCTTGTGCAATGTAGGTATTGATAAATACCAGTGTCTTCCTGTGATGTGGGTATTTCATAATACTGTTTTGTTGACGTTATTTGTTTAATCACAGTAGGTGTTCAGATGTGGTTCTATGACACAAAGATAATTCTCAGATTAATAAGGACCCTGAAAAAGAAGAACTTTTCTTTGGCATGGAATCATACACGTTCTCTTCTGCATTTATTCCTGTATTGAATGACTGTGGTGTCTGCAGACTGCTTGGTGCCAGAGTCCAATACTCTCTGACCAGGTTCTTTTAGATCTTCCACATATGGGGGGCATAATATTTAATATAAAATTTACTTATTTGAAGATAGTTGATGCTATACGGGATATCCGAGTTAGGAGAGTGATACAAAATATACTGAAAACAATACAAATGTAAGTTACACTTGGCAAAATACAGCAATTGCAATACACAGTTCAGTCACAATACTATCGCAATATTAAGGTATCTTAATACACAATTCAGGAAGTTTCCGAATAGCAAAATATCCTTTTCCCATTAGTCTAGCTACTAAATACAATAACCCTAAGGCAAATGCAGTTACTTAATACCGGTTTTCCTCTTTTTGTTCTAATGTTCCGCTAGGACTTTTTTTAATTTCCCAAATATTATTACTGAAATAATTTCCTCATATTATTACTGAGGACTTGGACTATATGACACTTCTTCAATAAGCAGATTTCACTCCAGGAAAACTGATGAGCTTTATTTCATTAGTTTACTTTTTCCTGAGTTTAGACCTGTGGTTGGTTGTGATTGATTGAGTATGATAGATTCTGAGCTTTTTCTAGCATGTATTATACAAGGTCTTCTAATAGGTTTCTTTTCTGAAGATTTTTGCTGTCAAATTTTTTTGTGATTCCTGGAAAAATTAGTTGTTTTTCACTTTAGAATTCATGCCAATGAAACTACTTGCTGTATTTCTTTTGAAGTATCTTTGTAGTAACAAATTAAAACTTAAACAATCCATACTTTTTCATGCTTCTAACAGATTTCTACATAGAATAAGTCTGGTCAGAATGTAACCTATGCTTCCTCCCCCCCCCCCCCCTTCCCTTTCCCCGTCTTCCTCCAGGGAAAATGCCATATAAGAAGACGACTGCTGGAAAAAGAGTCCCTGCCAAAAGGAAACTTGCTGAAGTGTTTGCTCTGGGGGAGGTTTTGGCGGATACATCAAGAAAAGAATGGAAATTAGGTGTTCCTATAGGGCAAGGAGGCTTTGGACGCCTATACCTTGGTAAGTGTAGTTACCTTTGACAATGCTTTAAAGTGGAGGGTGAGATGTTTATCCTTATTTAAAGCAATCAAAAATTGACCTTAAGTTAGAAGTGCAGTGTCTTCAAGTGATTTTTTTACTAGAACCTTAGCTTGCTTCATGGTGTTGGAAAAAAATAACAGGAGTGGACAAATGGTCATTGAAAGCACTGTGGTTGTATGAGATTCTGGTGGTAGTTCATTCATTTTTTTAAAACCAAAATCTTTATTACTTTTTAGCAGTGAAAGGATAGTTTAGTATTTATTTAAATTTGATTTTTGGTCTGGCTGAAAGAAGGGATTTTTGCATAAGTGTGCTTATATCACAAATTCCGAACTGAAACTGTCTAAGCATATTCTACAGAGGCTACTGATCAGCCAGTATTTTGGCTGGTTTTGACTTTGGTGCTGCTTTTGACTTTTTCATTGCCTTGTGAACTTCTGACATAAGTCTCATACTTTTTTATGTAACCAATGCTCAAAACAAATTGAAATCTTGGACTTTACAGTTTAAAGCATCAGCGCAGATCTTGTTTTGCAATGCTGTTTATTGAATTCAAGGAAAATTTCTTTTAGTAGGTAGTATTCCATACTTAGTATCTCTATTATTTGAACAGATGAACAGATAAGAGAGGTCTTGAGGATACTTCAGGAAATTAAAAAAACTTGATTGCCCCTAGTAATTTTCCAAACAGTTTTGAAGGAATGAAAGTTAATGTGATCATGATAATAAGGTTTTCTTTTAATGTGCATTTATGGTCTTCCTTGTCTTGGTGAAAAAGTTGCACTGAATTCATTCTGAGTTGAAAAAAAAATTAATAATCCATCCTTCTTTCAAAATGAACAGACTGCAGCATAAGTGGACTAAGAAGAAAAACAGGACCAGTGGGTGGCTTCTTGCCAGAGAAGCTTTCTGCTACTTACTCAGCCTTGCTTAATGAGCTACTAAATTTACTGAGACTGGGGTTCCAGCTCACTCAGATTGTGTAGTTCTTTGTGTTAAGAATTACTGCTTTGTTCAAGCCCTCTGTTTGCTTCCCCATCATTTGCACAAAGCTGTGCCCCTGACTGTTCCTGTACATCATTCTTGCCTAAGTTGACGACCTTCATAGCTTTATCTCCTTTGTCACAAATATCAACAGCTTAGTAGCAACAGAAAGTCAGTTTTGGATATGTGACGTGGCAAAATAGTAGAGAGAATGTGTTTTTCATATTTATGTCCACAACTGTGTATGTTCATCATAGTCCTAGAAAAGGAAAGAAATGCTATGGACTAGGAAAAAGTTACTGAATAATAAGAAAGAACTCCTTTGTTTAGTAAACTGTCTGTTCTCCTCAAACAGAAGGGAGAAAGCAAGACCATATCCATATAAAGTAGTCTTGCCATATAGAGTAGTTCCCTTACCTAAGTCTAAGGTACTGATACATATTCACATCAGTACTTAATTGCTCTGTCATTTGTTTGTCTATACTGCATAGCAAATAAGTGTATGTTTTGTGACAGTTTCCTACTACTAATAAATGCTTCCTTTTTAACAGCTGATGTTAATTCTTCAAAGTCAGTTGGCAGTGATGCACCTTATGTTGCAAAAGTGGTAAGAGAGCATTTGAATCTTTACTTCACAACTTGAAAATGTTTGTTCTAGAATAGCACGTGTAATTTAAAACATCTTCTGACTGAAAATAATACAATTGCATAGTGCTGTTTAAAATAAAAGTAAGTGTGATCTAGAGGAATGCTGCTGAGAATTGGGACTCCTATGTATGAGGGTGGATCATCAGTGGAGCTGAAAAAGGTTCATGAAATAGATCAGATTCTGTTTCACTTTCTGCTTCCTGTAAACAGCCCAAATATCAAAAAATGAATGAAATCTGGCTAGCTTTTGGAGAATTTCTGTGATTCAACAGTGAGTCTCTGTGAACTGTTGCTCACCACTGGATGTTGGTAAGCTGACAGATGGCTTGGGAGTAGAAACAGCAAAACTTTGATTCCCGAGGTCCCCACAGATATAAAGTACTTTAAATGTTTTATCATAAAACACATATGTATTCTAATTTCTATTGAATTAAAATGACATTGACACATAATTTTTTTAACCTAATGATTAGAGAGAAGAAAAAGCATTGTTGATATTTCATTTTTAGCTCGTTGTAGCAAATCAGCAAATCCTTTTTATTAGTTGAAATTTTCTTATGTTTTTAATCTTAAAATAAATAAGATTTATTTAACTTGATTTGACTATAATATTCTCTTCCTAAGGTATAGAGTCCATTTTTCTTAAATTTGCTACATTATTTTTTTATAGATCCTACTACTATATATGATTCCCTGGTAAAGTCTTGGTAAAAAAACTGGGAATATGGGAATAGGCATAGTGGATCCAGACTGTTCATTGTCTTGGTTGTACTTCTGGTCCTGTGACAAAAGCAAATACCAGAAAACTGCCCAAGAACTTCACAATGTAAAAAATTAGTTCTTCAGCACAGTTCAGAACTGCAATGTTTTAATCTTTTATTTATTAAACTGTATGGCAATACTGAAATGCTGTACTGCAATAGCTGGCCACTTATGTAAATATGTTAATACTTTTGACATTTGTTACTGAAACTAAAAGATCAGGTTAATTTAGAATAAAATACATTTTACTTAGTATGTGCCTTTAATCTTGATATTTATATCTGCTGACTACAGGGAAATTCTAGAGTACTGGTTATGATGCTGTTCAGACACCCCAAGATACTGTTGGTGATGACCCTTTTTCCAAAACATTGTCACTTGCTGAAAAAAGCACTGCTTACAATGCAAATGTCAAACTACCACACTTCCCACATCAGCGTACTGCCACCGCCTTAGGTGTTTGTGGGCAGGAATTCCATGTAGACCAGGAGCCCCAACCTGCAGCTGTTGCACGGTGGCAGCCTGCTTTTGCATGCTCAACCTGTGCCACCGAGGGCAGGGGCTGTCCATTATTCAGGAGCTGTGGCCTGTTGTAGAGGCAGGCAGCAGGCATTCAAGTTATCAGCAGTGGCTTGCTTATGAGAGGCATTGGCTCCTAATTACTGGCTCCTGCCGAGTTTGGACTGATCAGGAAGCAGAGCTCCATTTAACTTTCATGGGAGAATCCAGTTTGACTTGCTTGGAAGATCGTCAGATATGCATTATTTTATGCTCTGCGTAATTGCTATGCTCTTCTTTCCCTGAGGTTGAAACCTGTCCATCTGCTTCTCTTCTCCTCCACTTTGGACTCTGAATATAAGAAGAGTTGTCATAACTTTTGGGTTGCTTTTAATGCTAGATTCACTTTGTTGCAGCAATTTGTAAATACCCCCATTGCTAATCTCACAGATGACTACTCACTTTTAATTTGTCTTTTATAATTTTGTCTTTATGGCAATAAAGAGTAGCCCCAGTCTTTGTGCTGCCCTCACAAATGACCCATAACGCATTCTGCCTCTACAGTCTAGTATAACACAACTACGGATAAGGGCCTATTTTCTGATGCCTGGGTGATTCCTAGTTGATCCATCAGCTGAAGCAAAGTGGTTAACAGCTTTGAACAATTATTAGTGTTCAGCAAAATATGTGCTTCTATAGTAATGTTCTTCAAATTAAGCTATTAAAGCAGGATGGAAATTGGCTTAGTCTTTGACATAGCCTCATAGCATTGATGTCTGAGCAATATGAAATGGATCACAGTTTTTATTAAAAAAATAAATGCTTTTTAACATGTGGACCTTTCAGATGACATTGTTCAGGAGCGGATGCAGAGTTTAATAACACTTTGTTAAATTGCTGACTGAAAAAAGATCAGAATTCTTAAAATACTACTTGAAGAAATTTGTTGGGTTTCGACATGTACTCCATAATCTCTTTCATTATGATATCTTTTCTAATTAGACTTTAATTTCAGTTTTGCAAATTGTGTTTAGAATGACCCTGGGCATAAAGTTGTAGAAATTTGTGTTTGAAGTGTTTCTGGTTTTAGCGTATTGTAAGATGACGAGTATGGCAAATATTGGACATCATTACATGAGCCTTTTTAACATAGCGTATGCATTTATTTATCTGTATGTACAATTACTGGTATTATGGGGAAACAGCTTCGTAGTCAACATGAAGATCTGTTTTATGGTTAAATCATTTATCCATCCCCTCAAGTATGAAAAGATACCAGATTTTCAGCATTTGGTCTGGCTAGAGAAAGAGATATCTTTCTTCAGCACGGAGACATAATTTTTTGTCGAATAATTTATTTAAAGATAAATATTTTAAGAAGTTTTAACACCTACAGTTTTTCGCTGTATTTTAGTAAGAAAATAACATTCATCAAACCTATGTAAATGGAATCAAAAGAATATGTATAATTTATATTCTAATTAAGTTAGAGTATTAATGGATTATGCTACACAGAAACAAGTGAATAGGTCAAGTAACGTTTGTTCGAGATAACTGCAGTATAAGAATTCAGCTGTTTAAGCCTTCTCCTCTGTATATATAATCTCTGTATCACTAATTTGTTGTCCATAGTGGATAAATAAACTAATTGAAAGTAAATATGCATGTACCAAAGTTTATGTGCATTGCTCAGTTGGTCTAGCTGGTGTTTTTGTTTTTTTTTTTTTCCTTGTTCATGGCTTAAGTGTGAATGTTGGTCCCACAAGGAGGGGCCAGAAAACTGTTGTCTTGGCTCCATTGTTTATCAGGGCAATGCTGCTGGAGAAAGTGGGGTGGAGATAGGCGGTAGCTTTGTAATCCAGTGTCCGGGACGAGGAGTGGTGCCTAAGCTGGTGTCTACCCTCAGTCTGACTGGTCTTGCTACTCTGAGCCAATACGTCAGGTGCCCACTAAAGCCCATGTTTGTCAGTGTGTTTGATCTCTTTACATTGCTTTGTTTATGTCAGACAGCAGTAAACCTCTATTAGCTGAGTGGTACGGTCTGGCCTTTAGCAATTTTCTGGATTTAGAAGTTACAATTAAAACCATTTAAGATTGATGTTATATATCCTGGAACTTTTGCTAAAATTGTGTGATTGTATTCTTTCTGGGTTTCTTTGCCAGTAATCACGTACTTCTTTTTGGTTAGATTTTTAAGTGTAGGATATTCCAAAACAGGTATTTTCACTGAAATAGAATGAGTTTGGACATATATGAGTAACTAGACTAAAGTAAATTGCTTAAGCTTATCTTGAAATCAATCGCTTAAAAATCGCAAGAGTTGAAATCACTTTTTTCTTTTCTGCGCTAAGTTCTGGAAATGTAGAGTCAAGGTACTTGCCCATTTGCAATTCTTGCAGTATTTCAAAGCTTTGGTGTTTTCAAACCTATTTCTGTCTTGCACTTTATTTGTAATGCGTGGTTACCAGAGATTTGTCCCTAGAAAATGGAACTGAAACACCTTATGTTAGCTTAAATACAAGGTAGACTCTGAAGTCAAAATAGATGTAGTTCTTATAATTTAATAGAAATTGTGAAGTCCTCTGTAACTTTTATCTTGATCAGCTAATGTATGAAAGGAACAAAATACCATATGTTCAGCAAGAACTTAACTTTTTGTTAAGATTTTTCCATCAAATCATTTCAGGTGTTATTTTAGGCTCGCTAATGGCTATTGCAACTGATGCAATCCAGCTTTAATCTGGAAAATCTGAGGTTATGCTGTTTAATGTTCTCTGCTAACATTTTGCTGCCAATTATTGGTGGTAATTCTGTATATTTAAGTTAATTTGTTATTCTTTAATCTTTTGTTATGGGCAATGATTCTTTGATATCCTTAATGTTAAGCAATCTATAATTAAAACAACTTTTTAGAGCCAACCTTCTTTTATTAAAAGAACATGTTCTATTGAATTTATCAGCGCTGGGTAGAGCATTTGAGGGAGAATATGCTGTTATAGGGTGAATGTTGCATTTTGTGAGCTTTTAATAATTACTAGGCACTAACACAACAGTTTTTAACTAATTTTGAATTGTCTTAAAGGAACCCAGCCAGAATGGACCTCTTTTTACTGAGTTAAAGTTCTACATGCGAGCTGCTAAGCCAGATGAAAGTAAGCAGTCTATTAAAATGTTTTTAATGAACTACAAGCATTTAGGAAAATAGAGCCTACAGGAGTAAGGTCGAACTTGAAAAGAATCTTTTCAGGTCATTTTAAAAATTATTTTTAAATTATTGAAATCTAATTCAGACATATAGTAAAATTAGGGTTTTTGGTAGGATGTTCTTTATAGTTGTGTTGATGGTATTGTCTACATAGAAACTTTAGTTGCATCTCTGTCCTTCTGCATCATTAACTTTCCAGTATACTTTGCATACAAGTTTCCATGAAATAAGCAGCTCACGTGTATGCAGAAACTGTAAGTGATGTGAGTACTCCCTTTTTGTGAAAATCTCTCCTGATGCGAATTCATGAACTTACCTTTATTTGTATTTTCAGTTCAGAAGTGGACTAAGTCCCATAAACTGAAATATTTAGGTGTACCAAGATATTGGGGTTCTGGCTTGCATGAAAAAAATGGAAACAGGTGAATATATCTTTTGTTGGCATATACTGGGATTTATTTCATCCACAACCACTATCCCTTTTAACCTAGTTTACTTTGTAAGATGTATTTTCCACCTATCTTCATGTTGTTAATTTCTGCTACAAAGTTTCATGTTCATAACAGGGTGTGTTTAGGGAATAGATGAATAGATACATTGTATCTGTACTCTGTTACTGGTATTTGTGTTTATTACATTCTTAGTGATTTAGTTTTCAGTTGTCTCAAACATTGCTGTAATACAGTGCTGCTATATATATGTGGTTTAGAAGCTTTTCATATTTGAATTAAAATAAAGTAGACTCCTATAAGTCCTTGAATAATGACTTCAAAGTTTTTCTTCTGGTGTGGTGTGCACTTAGAGTATTTTCATGCACACATATAAAGGACTCGGTGCTCTCTCTAAATCTGTTTTATTTTCCCTAGGGATAGGATTTTTTTTACTTGATTTGTGAGCTAGGGTAACTGCTAGTCTCATGTTAAATTTGTCTTAAGTCTAGGGATAGTTTTTAGTGTTGTTCCATGTCATGGAGGGTTTTTGTTACTTGGTCTTGAATGGTATGCCTGTTTATGTAACAGTCCTTGTTTCCTAGTGGGCTTTCTCTATACAGCTATGCTGCAAGAAGTTTTAGTAGTTCTCTGGCAGTTTATAGTAGGTCAGGCTTCTTTGTGGGGACCACTACATAGGGGAGTTGGTATGTATGCCCTAGTATGTCAGAAATATCATTATTTCAGTAGGTCCTCAACTTTAAAACTAATCTAATGTAAAATCAGCATTAATTTTGAGAGGCAAAAGTAAATATAACAAAATTATTAAATTTTTTCCCAAATAAACTTTTCTATGCATTTAGTGTTTAACGCATGAGATTCTTTAATACAGCTATGCTTTAATACAGCTGCAGCTATGAGCTCTTGCAGTAACAGAAACAGTTTGGCTATAGCAATGAATATCAGAACACCTTGGCAAGTGAGGTTTTTGTTTTTAATAAGAGGTTAAAAAAAAGGTTGTAATAGATTTCAAGAAACTAACTTTAATCATATTAAGTCACTTAGAGAAATACATTTTTTACTTTATAAATGACTAAGTAATTGATGCTTGGTTTTACCTATAGAGAATTACAATACAGATATTTTCCTCTGTGGGTACTTGTTATTGTATTGCATAACTAGCCAGGAATAAAGAACAGTTCTTTTGATGGATGAACTTTTGACTAGCTGATGTAAAAAAGTTAAGAATCGATATACAACATTAAAAAAAGTCAAGTAATTCCCATATATTTGTTTTCTGTGTACCTGCGGTTTATCTTTTGAGAGAGATGTTTTCAATCAGTAACTTGTACAATTAACATATAGATAAAATACTTTGCCAAGTATAATTCAGTAACTTCACTGCTGTGTTTTTTTTCCTTGAATTTAGTTATCGATTTATGATAATGGACCGATTTGGCAGAGATCTTCAGAAGATGTATGAAGAGAACGCAAAGCGATTTTCCCATAAAACTGTACTACAATTAGGCCTGAGAATAGTAAGTTTAAAAAATATATTTTTACAATCTGGCTTCCCTGTGTAAGCTTTTCAGTTAAATCCCACTTTCGTGCTGAGTACAGGTCCTCTGCTGGGTGGAGCTGGGTACTGCATTTGTATGACTGTATTTTGTTTTGTTAGCTTGATATTCTGGAATACGTCCATGAGCATGAATATGTGCATGGAGACATCAAGGCCGCAAACCTTCTCGTGAGTTACAAGAACCCTCATCAGGTATTTCTAATGCGTTCTATTCCTCATGTTTTAAACCTTCTATTTGACAACACATGGAAGTGCTTTGAACCTGTGAAATCTAGCAGAAGCTCATTTTTAAGAATGTATATTTCTGCTTGACATTTATATCTAGTTAATATTCTACGATTTTTTTATGCATTTTGCTGGACAGTTATCAAATTGACTATTTGCCCTAAATAATATTCTAGAGAAATTCTCGAGATTAAAAAAAAAATGACTCACAAATAAGTATTTGCAGGTGGAAGCTTAAAATTATATAGCACACTGGTAAATTATGTTTGCCTGTCTGCATTGTTACCTCATTCCTTTGTTCAAGAAATCCATCAGATAAGTGTTCTGTTACTTGGAAAAATTGGTCTTTAAAGTGTTGATTGTTCCACTTGATTTACAGAAGTCTTTCATTTTTCTGCATTTTTAACTCTCTTTACTATTCAAGCAATGCATCTTAGAGTTTCAGAATTATGTATGTCATCTTGCCCAAATGTTTTAGGTCCTGAAATAAGTAAAATAATCTCAGTTCTCTTAAAGTAACTGTGGTGTTAGTGAGAATTAATAGTATGCAGTAGTGTTCACATGGGACAGCTGACTTTAAAGAGGATAGGACACTAAGTGTATTTATAACTATGAACATTATGTCTTTTTTTTTTTCTTACTGGTAATAACAGACTATTTTACTCTACTTATGCTTTGCATCAGCAAGAAATTACTTCCAGATCAGACTTCTATATGGGAAACAACAAAACCTGTCTGACACATTGTTTTCAAATCATATGTAGTAATCTCAATAAAGCACTGAGGAAAGGATCATTGAAAGTCAAAACTCACCATTTTTAATACTTCTTAAGAAGTTCTGAGAATGGTTGGGAGTTATGTTTATTTTTTGTTTATTTTTTGTATTTGTAGTTCTTTAATCTTAGAATTCTTTGTGGAAATTACTAGGTGTACTTGGTGGATTATGGACTTGCCTACCGATACTGTCCTGAAGGAGTTCACAAAGTGTATAAAGAAGATCCTAAAAGGTGTCATGATGGAACTATTGAGTATACCAGTATTGATGCACACAAGGGTGTGGGTAAGGATGTAAAACTTTGTTCTTGGCAATAGGCGTTTTGTGCATCCTTTTTATAAACACAAAAGACTTTATTTGCTGCATTGAGTTTTGTAAACAACCAGGTTTCTGAGTCTATAAAAATATTTTCTTCTTCTCTATGGACTATGCTGGTATTTTTCTTTTTTTCCATTTACTAACTTTTCATATCAATTTACTGTATTTTTTAATGTAACTTTCTTAAATAGATTTCCTTTAAATTATAAAGACTGTTAAGATGTTTATTGTATTGCTTTTTATTAACTAAGTAGAAATGGAATAGTGCTTATGAGATCTTGATAGAAAAGCAGGCTGTGTTTTCAGGAGATAAATAGTTTCTGTTATCAATGTGAACGTTGTTCCTTCATATTTGGCAAAGATGCACTATATTCTTTATCTTGTTTATGGCTTAATATTTAGAATATTTTTAAATGAAAATTCATTTAATTATGAAATATTATTTCATAATTATGCCTATGGTCACTGAATATCAAAAGGCACAAAGTGACAAAAGGTTGCATGTGAAAAGGACAGGTCTATGTCTGATTAAACACTGAGGATTTATAGTGAATACCAGTTTTTTCTTCTTCATTCTTAGATTTTGTTAGCATAGAAGTGAGTCCTGCAAAAATATCAGTTATTGAAAATTATTATTTACTTCAGGATGAACTGTTGCACCTATGCTTAAAACCGAACATGAACAAAGATGACTTTGCCCATTTATACTTATAGTGTAGTCTATGGTCAATGTACATGTGCGTGGCTTTTTTTTAAATTTTCTTTGGCAGGGCTTAGGGATCTGATCTATTATTGTCTTCTGTTCAGTTTTCAGGCCACATAAAATATTTCAGCATTGTGGAATTTTTTTTTCAGGAGCTGGGGTTTTAGCACTATTACCTTTTCATAGAAGAAGGGAACAAAAAACTGTTTTGAATAGAAAGTCAATCACTTCACTAACTTGCTCTGGTTTTTTTCCACAATGGGAGTACTTAAAAAGCTTCCCAAATTGGGATAACTGCAGCATGTCATATCCTTGAGTAGAAGAAAGAGATTGATGAAGGACTTGAAAATGAAGTTATTCTTCCAGATACAGGAACAATATTTTTTCCTTCCTGCTTTCATGCTAAAATAAAGAAACAAGTAACAGATACAGTAGTGTTACATTGTTAGCATTGGCTTTCTATCATCTTAACATATTTACAAGTTCTATCATCTTAACATATTTACAAGTTTTAACTGTTGTTAAACTATGTTTATTATGTGTGTGTGTATATTTAGCGCCATCGAGACGTGGCGATCTGGAGATCTTGGGTTACTGTATGATTCATTGGCTTAGTGGCCATCTACCATGGGAGGATAATTTGAAAGATCCAAATTTTGTCAGAGATTCAAAAATCAGGTGAGAAACTACTTGTTTTCTTTCTCTATTGAAATAGAAAATAGGAATGAAAATGTCTTAATGTAGAAATACTTTGTACTTTAGGTATGTTCCCTTTTGGTGAGTAGACTATTGTTTTGTATACCCCCCAGTTTCCCTTCATTGTGTCTCCTGTATCCTTGGCTTCTAATTAAACTTTACTTGTACTATTCTACTCTGTTTTCTTTTCCATATGTGAGATGCTTATTTATCCACCACAGTACTGTCACTTTAGAATACTGCCATGGTTAAGGCAGAAAGCGCTCTTATCAGTATGCAGGTAACCATTAGTCCTGCTTTACAGAAAGAGAACTGAAGTATGGAGTATGAGTAGCCTTTATAACACCATGCTCTGAAGTCAGTGGCAGAGATGAGAGCTAAAGGTGGATCTTAAATGTCTTTGATCATCGTTCCAGCTAGAGGGCTACTAATGTGGGATTTTTTTTAATTATTTTTTTGGTTCCCCTCCTTCACTGTTACATTCCTTTGTCTTCCCCCCCACCCCTGCTCAACCCTCTCTCATCAGATATTTAATATGAAGAAAGCTGTCCCAGCATAGCAGTTTATCTCATTAACAAGTATTTATCTGGCTTCCTGATCTCTACTTTTAACACTTTGGCCTCCATCAATGTTAGCGAAGCTCCCCCTACTTCTCCTGAGTTATTATTTTGACAGGGGATCTGCTCTGAATATCAGCTAGAGAAAGAGTCCTCTAGCAGGAAGAGGTGAGAGCATTGGTATGTGAGGGTTTAAAATGGACCAGTTCTTCTTCTTCAGTCTTCTACTTGCTTGCTTTTATAGGAATCAAAAACAGTTGAACAAAAATTTATCGTATTTCAGATAGCCTGTCTGGCACTCATCAGGTTCTCAAATGTACTGCACTCCTAAAAATGGCTGTACTAAGCCATGCCAAAGGTTTATCTAATAGTGTTTCCTGTCTCTGACGGTGGCCTAAGCTAGGTATTTTGGAAGTCTATCAGAACAGGGCAAGATTCAAACTTCGAAAGAAACAATAGTTTTGAATAATTCTGTTTTTCAGATGTAGAGATAATATTTCAGTTTTGATGGACAAATGCTTCCCTGGGAAAAATAAACCAGGTAAGAGGAGCTATTTTAAATTAAAATACTGTGGTTTGTACCATGTGGTAAGCATTCTCTAAAAATTTGTTTTAATGCTCTTTTTCTTAAAAAAAAAAAAAATTCCCTCAATCTGTTTGGGTGTCATCACCAAATTGTTGACAACTTCAGACAATGAGTAGAAGTTCTGAAATTTCGTATTTACATGGGCTACCTTGAGTGTGTACAAGGGAAGATTGTGCTACTCTGTATTCAAATAAAAACAGAGCAATTCAGTTGCTGCAAAAGGTGAGGAGTTGTCAGACTGTCAGCAGCTTTCTTCCCGAGAGGTGTGTCTCAGGCATTGTACTCTAATCTCTTGCTTGTTTAAGTCCTTCTTGTTGACTTAAGTTTGTGCCTGTTTTTCTTCTTACTTTTATTGGCAACAGCAAAGTGGCATGAATTACATTGTTGATTAGGAGAAGTTTAGACTCTTCGTTTTGGCTACAGTTGTATGAACTGCAGACACTCTGTTGCTTCTGACTAAAGACAGTATTAGTATTAAGTATTTGCAAACATGAAATGTGTAAGTTGATTTTTCACAACTGAATTTTAGAGATTCAAAATATAAAGTAATGCGAACTTGAAGTCTAGATTGTGTCTATTTGGCACTGGTGATTTGCGGAGTAGATTTTTTTTTTTTTAAACCTGACTCTATTAGAAATACACTTAAACTTAAATATTTAGTTATTTCCAGCTACTCCCAGTGATCAGAAGAGTTTTCTCTGTCAAGTGTGTCTTTTCTGGTTTTTCAGTGGTCAAATCTTTCACGTATTTTTTAATATGTGTTTTAGTCTTGAACTGATGAATTTTTTGAGATAACATTGAGTTTCCTTTTCAACATTTTTAAATATAGACATAAGAAATATCATGTAAACAAGCATTCATTGGTGAAGATTGGCCTATTACATTTTTTTACGACTGACTGTTTTCTTCATTGCAATGAACGTGTAAAAAACAGTGATGCTATCATCACTGGTTAATGAACCTTGGTATAATTTTTTTTCTAAAATGTGTTGTAGTAAAGTCATAATTATGAGTTTATAAATAATGATTTCAAAAAATAGCATAAGTAGTGCATGCATAATTTCGGAGTCTTTTGTGGTAAAAGTGAATGATTAAAATGTTTTAAAATAGTAATTAATTGGAGGTACCATTTCTTTAGATGAAATAGCCAAATACATGGAAAAGGTGAAGCTACTGAGCTATGAAGAGAAACCTGTTTATCAGCATTTCCGAGAAATACTTCTGCAAGGTCTTAAGGCCATTGGGCAAAAAGATGATGGAGTACTTGACTTTGGCTTGTCAGAGAATGGAGACTTGCAAACAAATCCCACTCAAAAGGTTTTTACTCTAAAAATTTATGTCAGCTTTTAATGCATTTTTTTTAACCTAAATAAGTGTTAAAGTGGTATTGGAAGTAGGTGTCATAACTGCAAATAAACAAATAGTGAAATGTTTATTTGATTAAGTCCTACTCTTATACATTATTTCTCTAATTTAACTTCACTAGTTGTTATTAAAACTTAATACAGAATGATGTTTATAGGTGTACTTTCATAATAGATAATATCTTGGATAACAGAATGTGTATATATAATTGTAGTGACATTTGAACAGATGAACATTCAGTTAATTTACTTATTTTCCTTAAATTGGTAAAACTCCAGATGGGTCAAAACACATGTAAAGTAAAATAAGTCTAGTTTTTGTTTCATATTAGTTTCCGTTCTGTGATTAGTTCAAAGCTTTAGTTTTAAGTATACATCTTTATGCCAAGTATTTGATTCTGGAATTCACATATTGAATTCACTGTGATCTAATATGTTATTTATGAGCCTTAACTATAGTGGTAGGCTAGGGTTATTTTATTCCTTGTATTTAAGAAGCCTTAAACTCTAGATTTGGACTCCCATTTGAATACAGCGTAAGAACTTTTTAAGCCTTAAGGAAATTGTGTGTTAAAACAGTTTATAACAACAATAAAAAATGGTCAAACAATGAAACAATAAATATAGAATTGCAGAATGGTTTGGGTTGGAAGGGACCTTTAAAGGTCGTCTAGTCCATCCCCCCTGCAATTGGCAGGGACATCTACAACTAGAGCAGGTTGCTCAGAGCCCCATCCAGCCTGGCCTTGAATGTTTCCAGGGATGGGGCGTCTACCACCTCTCTGGGAAACCTGTGCCAGTGTTTCACCACCCTCATCATCATAAAAAATTTCTTCCTAAAATTTCATAAAAATTTTTTCATCGTAAAAAAATTCTTCTTTCTAGTCTAAATCTACCCTCTTTTAATTTAAAGCCATTACCCCTTGTCCTATCACAACAGGCCCATTGTTATTATTATGCCGTACTTCAAACTGCATTTATTACTTGTTTATTTGCATTTGTTAATAACAAGTAGGCAGTTTATTGGTTCCTTTAGCATGAGCCATGGACGTGAGAATTATAATACTTCTGTTCCCCCTGTAGATCGACATGGCTTGAGACCTGTGTTGGGGGGGGGGTTTAATTTTTAATGGTTGGCTGGTTTCTTTGCTGAATAAGTTGGCCTGCTGCAGAGCCAACATCTGTGACCTTTAATGTCCTTGTCCAGCAGAGATGGCTGGTGCACGTTTCCAATGGAAAAAAACCTCAAAAATCTTATTTCTCTATCCAGTATCAGTCAAGACCACTCCCAAAGGGTGGGATAATATTTTCCATAATTTCTTACCTTTTTGGTGTGTTTCTTTTTTTTTTTTTTTTTTTTTTTTTTTTACTTTGAGGAACCATATGCATAGTTGGCTTGCTCAGTTATCACAAATATGTTCAAGTGCTTACATAAAAGTGAGTGTCACTGGCCTGCTTGAATAAGCGTTTTCAGCTGTCCGCTTCATTGCAGTGGGCTTCATGCTAGCTACTTCCTGCCAGCTACTGCTAGAGTGTCCAGACAGAATAAGATTTTTTGCTTGAAAGCAGTCAGGTTGACATAGCCTGCTTGCTTTTGACCAAATACCAAGACAGATGACTCTTCCTTCTATGTTGAATTTTCTAGGCCCTGTAACAGCTGTGGTGTAGGCTAGGGTAGAAGAATAGATTGTGTCAGTCTTCCTTCCAAGGGTGTATTTTGCACTTCAAGAATGAAGGGAA